AAACGTACTGTAATCCAATAAGAAGCGCGTATTTGAGAGTTAATCACTATTTAACTACAAAATAGTGATTAAAAAAGTGATTAAGAGTTTTATACAACCGGCCCCTGAGGAAAACTTATAGCATGGACTTCGTTCAGCCAGAATCGCATGTAAGTCCAGAAGACGGTCTTTTATCCCGCAGTAATTTAATTTTATGTACTTTCTATCTTCCACAGAGGCAAGAAGACAAGGATAGGATTGGAGCAAGCGATTAGCGAGGCTTTAGAGGAACTAGATAAGGTACATGTGAAATACTTATTACTTTATAGAATTGTAATAAGTAGCACTATATGTGGTCACGACTCAATTTTTTTCTGCAATTATTTCTCTTTAGCGAGAACGTCTAAGATCCAGGCAAGGTAAGAAAACTACACATTTCAGATACGACAGTTAGTACCACATTGTTTCTTTTCTTGTTGCTTTACAATATCTGACGTCACTTTCCCACCAAATTTTGTCAGGACCTAAAGCGAAGAAACGAAGGTTGTAACATCCCATCAAGGAGGAAGTGCATGGCCACGGAAAATCGGTTCAATATATATATATATATATATATAAAATACATGGTACACATAATTTTTTTAGGCGTTGGAATAGAGTACATGTATCGTCAGATACTTCAGATCGATTGACGTTACTGCAGTACAACTACATGTAAATAGTTTTGGACAGTATATGTGTGCTGAACAGTATTCATAAGGAGTTTCGGCAAAAACACCAAATACTAAACGACAACGAAGCAGTAGCGAAGCTAGCCATAGCAACAGGTCATGATATGCAAATGTTAATGATATGCATTATTCAAATCTTAAGAAATGAATTGTGTTTAACCTATGTAGATGCAGGTTTATTAACATTGCATGACCAGTTGCCAGCTTCGCCGCTGCAACGAGGAGCATCTGGGATGAAGTGTTTGCGTATCTGCGATGCAGACAAAGGAATACAGTCCTATACGTGTTCACAATTGCAAACAAAACCCTCCGATCACAATAGGTTACCACAACCGACTGTTTAGGATGAAATTGATAATAGAGCAGTGCCGAGACGTTTTTAACCTCGTCTTACTGTCTTTGCCGAAACTCCTTACTCCCTAGATCCTTAAGTCTGGTTCATATATGCCTGCGGTATGCCTGCGCTATCATTGTTTACAGCTGTTGATGCATACATTCTTTTGTGAATTATTTGGTTGAACTGTTAACGACAATCGCCCGCCGACACACCGCAGGCATATGTGAACCAGACTTTACTGTATTGGAATTATCTGCCTGCGTCACAAGCGCTCGTGGGCGTAAAGGAAGGGACAGACTATGTCATAGTCAGGAAGTCTTGTCATTTGTCAATAATTAACCATTACCATGCATACTTTAAAAAGGGAGACGATTATTTTAGTACAATGCAGTATAGTCTTGAGGTCTTCATAATTCTTAGCCAATAGATGATTCCCTTATTATACGTTTTCGTAGCGCTATGCATTGTGGTTATAGTGGTATCACTGATATTCAAGATGGCTTATTTTTTGTCCCGACCCGTGCAAGAACTTTTAAAAAAAGCTAGGGTCAGGTGCACGATAGCCAACAGCAAAATATTCGCGAAAACATTCAATATTTTCATTCGAGGCCGCTATCTTTATCAGTGATACCACTATAACCACAATACAAAGCGCTACGAAAACGTAATAAGGGGAATCATCTATTCTCCGAATTGCAGGTTTCAATAGAGAGTTCAAGCTTCGCGTTCACACGACAAATGGCGGGAAAAATTTACGCTATAAAGAATAAATGGACCCGTTGTTTTAAAACTACTCGTTCAATACTATATTATATTATATTATATTCAATATTATACTACTCGTATAATCTACTCATTCACATCCATCAGAAAACCACAGAATCTAATCTTGAAGTGTCTGTGTCAGTGTAGGTAGTGGCAATAATATGAACAAGCTTTCGTTGCTAGGGATGCAACTACCTGAAAAATATAAGGAGAATTTCGACGTTTCCAGCGAAGGTCCTTGGTCTGGAGTTACTTGCCAAACTCCCGACGTAGCGCCTTCGCTCGAAACGTCGAAATTTTCCTTATATTTTTCAGGTAGTTGCATCCCTATCATGAACGAAAGCTTGTTTACAGAATCTAATCTCTCTTTAATAACCAATGAGGTCAATTTCACGTTTTTAATTCATTCAGATACAATACAATTCTCAGATGGTAGTTTTTATAATACTTCTAAACGCTTTCCTGTTATACTGGTAACATTCCCTGATATGAGCACGAATTCTACGCAATGAATCAATTATTGAGCCTTCGCTCAAAACGTCGAAGTTCTCCTTGTATTTTTCAGGTAGTTGTATCCCTATCAACCCAAGTTTTGTTATTATTGCCACTACCTACAATGAAGAAGACCTTTCAAAATAATATATGCACTCTTGCACGTCCCTAACATACCTACTTTGTGAAATGAATAAATGTTTGGAGCAATGGTATTGTTTTTTATGAATCTAGAACTATGAATTGAATTTTTGGTGGCTGTTTTTGCATTATTAATATGGCATTGCTTCTGTATAGTTTTCCTTGGTTGTGTGGAGCGTATGTGCTGGTTGGTCGAAACAAAAAGATCCCTCGTCCACATTTGTACCTCACAGTTAAAAGAGGAGTGAAGAGATCGTTTGTACGACGTGAACTTGAGGAGAAATTCAAGTGTGACGACGCTAAGGAACACTTTGAACTCCTTCGAGAACCTGAAAGAAAACCAAAAATTAAATATTTGGGTCTCCTTTTAAGTAAATTGAGATGTAAATCATCTTCTGTCTCACCGACACCTGGTGGTGGTGTATTAGCTTGCAGTAACCCCAGTTATACCAATCAAAACCCTTTACGAGTGCCTGAAGAAAACGAGAAAGTTGATGTACCTCAAGTCCAGGGAACTGGGACTTTAACCTTGTTTTGCGCCCTCAATGGACAACATTATGCACTCACCTGCTTTCATGTTGGTTGTGCAACTGATGAAAACCGTTTAAACGCCGCATTCAATGAAGTAGAAGATTAGCGATTGATACACCGGGTGGAAAGCGTAATTTAAAAATGAAAATTAAAGCCCAGCAAATGACTTTCAGACAAGACATAACAAAATATAAAATTTATTAGCTAACGTTTCGTTGTATTGTTCACAACATCTTCAGAGCAATTAAACTTATTTACAAGCGTGTATTATATATATACAAATAGTTACAAACGGTTACAGTATTCAAATAAGCGAATAAGAGGAAGGATGAAAAACAACCTGTCATTAAAAGCAATAGTATTAGTAGATTAAAGAAATAATGGTTAGTAATTAGAGACCTAGCAAAGCATTAGAAAAGGTCAAGAGGAGTTGACCTAATGTTAGCATTTAAAGTAGGATTAAGCTTGGATATGAAAAGGCTTTCGCGAATGAGTAGATCTGCTTCAGAACTAGCAGTGGAAAGGATTTTAAAATCAGAGGGTGAAATTTGATGTTTAGTGGTATGTATATGAGCGAGTATGCCTGACATGGTTGAAACAGAACGTTTCTTTCCAGTCAAAGGTGAAACACCCATATGTTCAGAGATACGCGTGTGCGGTATGTGTCGGCGAGTTTGACCAACATACAATGCACTACAGCATTGACACTTATACAAATACACCACATGTGATCTCAGTTTACCGGGAATTTTGTCCTTAAATGGAAAGAAATTGGAAAGACGGAAAGAAGGACGAAAGACGACACGTAAAGAAATGTGTGGATAGGCAGAAGAAAGAAATTTCTGAAGTTGTGATCGAATTTGCAAACCATGATGACCAGTGAAAGGAAGACAAAAATATATAACCTTTTTCGAGCAAGTATGAACTTTATCACGAGAATTATACATTTTATCAAGAAATGATTTGATACAACTATCCACAAGTGTTGCAGGATAACCATTAAGAGAGAAGGTTTTCTTGAATTTTTCCATTTCTGAATGGAAAAATACATAAGAAGAGCAAATGTTGAAATAACGAGAGATAAGTGAGAAAAGTAACAAAAAAGGTTTACTTTTCTCACTTATCTCTCGTTATTTCAACATTTGCTCTTCTTATGTATTTTTCCATTCGGAAATGGAAAAATACATTGCTCGTGTAAATGGGGCTTTAGTTCTTATAACCGGGAAATTGACCCGGGATATAACAGCCTCTATATATGAATAACCGGGGATAGCCGGGGACTGGCGAAAAACTTGTTCAACAGTTACGTGCGTTTGAAACTTTATATTTTATACTTTATAATCGCCAGCCTGTCAGCCATCCGTTGCTGTTAATATTCAATAAGCATCAGGTATCGCCTTTTCCATTGTTAGAATAATATAGTAAAATGAACTGCGCGTCAGAGAAAACACGGGCAGCTTAACGGCGGTTTTTCGCTTATTAAACATTTTGCTCTAGTCGTTTTCAGATCTCAGTTTTTCTTTCGCTCCTTAAAAAACTCACAGCAAGCTGAGGTAGACTTGGTGACT